TATACATGTAAATATGAAAGTTTAGGTGTAAGATACGTAAATCCATGACAATTGCATGCTAAGTATGTAAATATCACCTTTTTTAATTGATAGGTGAGATCATACCATTTGTCGGCATCATCATTCGTCTCTTATCTCAAATATTTGAGCACTATTTTGCATTTCAGCATATTATCTTCAATAATTCCTAGTCTGACAGTCCCTAAAACATAATGATTTTTTAATTTAGCCCTCTTAGTTTTGTTATATGCATATACCTATAGAAATTACTTATTTTGCACTAATTATCTTTAATTGTAACATGCAGGCTGATGTTGATAACAGTGGAACCATAGACTATAATGAATTTATAGCTGCAACTATACATCTAAACAAAATAGAAAGAGAGGATCACTTATTTGCAGCCTTCTCCCATTTTGATAAGGATGGCAGTGGTTACATAACTAGAGATGAACTGCAACTGGCTTGTCAGCAATTTGGCATGGAGGACTTGAGATTGGAGGAAGCTATCCAACAAGCTGCTAAAGACAATGTAAACTTCTTTAATCTTTACAAATTTGCAATTCTTATGTTTATTCGCAGAACACTTTAGTATCTAGATCGCGTTAAAATATATATACTTGTGTTGAATCTTGATTTGTTTGTGAATCACACTCAAGACATAGAGCGTAAGACATGCGAGAGATAGAAAGAGGGTGGAGACAGAGGGAGGTGTGCACAACGACTTGCCCCTCTGGAGCAAACTGCGTATTCCCGAGCTTTTGTGACTCTTTGTATATAATCGATATTTTTTTTAATACATAAGGAGAGAAAGAGAGAGAGGGTCCAAAAATCCTTCTTACTTGGAATGATCCTCTACTTATGGGAGATTTAGTAAAATATGAAAATGTTACATTTATAACCCTGCTTTGATAAGGGTTGTAATGTTATTTTGACTATTTCACATATGTGGGCATGTGGTTGTCAGTCGTATTGGGTAGTCCAAGCTGTAGGCCGTTCAAATCTCGGGTCATCCAGAATTCATAATTCAATCAGACATATTTTTTTATGTACAACTTGAAAAGATGGTATTTTACTCTTGAAGAATCGAATATTGGGATTAGTTTTGATGTGATTTAAAGATTTAAGGCGTTATACAAGTAAATATATAAGTGTTAGATAGTTAAATACATAAGAATTGTGGGGTGTTTGGTATTAATGTAAATTTAAATTTTAAATTTTTTGTGATTCTTTTTTGCAGGATGGCCGCATCGATTATAGTGAATTTGTCGAAATGATGCACAAGGGTAGAAGAATTTGAGTGCTGGACTCAGGAAGGCTATGAGGTTTGGTTATTACATAAAAGTCCGCTCGAACCTTGTTATTTACAAATCAAGCGCCCTCTTTCATCCATTATTCAAAGTCCCACTCAAACATCAAAATTCTTTGTAAAGCCCCTACCCATATTTTCCATTTTTATCAACTTTTCAATAGTTTGATTGCGGCGCTCGTAAATACATTGG